ATAGGCTGCAATCTTAAGAGCTCGGGCGTGGCCCGCAAGGCTCACCTGCTCGTAACCGTAGGTAGAGGCGGGGTGCGATCGGTCGGAATATTTAAAGCAAAGTTACGTAAGGTAATTAAAGGAACGGACTACCCTTTTGTTTGGGTAAAAAAAGGTATTTACCATATGATAGTAAAAATGAGAGGTGATATTGCACCCCATGGAGCCCCCTGAGTGACCCAGGCCAAAAGCGTTCAGGTCAGGGCGCTTTATAGGAGCAAACGTTAAGACCGAATTTTAGGGGAAGAAACGACGTAGCTGTTCGCTGTTCCAAGTGTGGGTGAGAACGTTGCTATTGTCGTCCTTCAGTCAGTAGGCACCCGGCCGGATCACCTCGGTCGCCGTATAGGGACCTTCAGTCATTTGGATCCTTGCCCGCCACGCCCCCTTTCTTGGCTGCTTCCTCCTTGCCTTTTCCTTCCTTCGGTCCGCTGGCCTGTCGCAGAAAGTGCTTGAGGAGCCTTGTAAAGGTGCTTGACGGGGTAGGCATGGTTGGTGCACGGGCTCTCCATGAGCTTGTTGAAGTGGTCATGCAGGCCCTGCTGGGGCTGCTTGCCCGTGCGATCAGCCGCGGCAACCAACGCGGGGTTGGCTGGTCGACGCCGATCGTTCTTGTTCTTTTTGCCCCTCTGCGTGGAGGGGCCCTCATCCTGATCCTCACGCTTGGCCTTGCCTTTGTCCCGGCCTCCATTGAAGACCGCTCCGACCGCCTCCTCGCTGGAGGCGTGGTTCGTGGCGACGTCGAGCAGGTCGCGGGTGGTACGGGGCTTTAGACAGCCAAGCTTGTGGATCAGGGACTCGCAGGTTGTCCCAGAGAGGAATGCGCTGATGATGTCCGCGTCGATGACATCAGGAAGGGAGTTGCATCATTTGGAGAACCTGCGGATGTAATCCCGTAGGGACTCGCTGGGCTCCTGCTGGCAGCTCTTGAGGTCCCAGGAGTTACCAAGGCGGACATACGTCCCCTAAAAATTTCCGATGAATACCCTCTTGAGGTCCGCCCAGTCGCGGATGCTGCCGTGCGGGAGGAATTCAAGCCATGCCCGAACATGTTCCCCGATGCAGATGGAGAGATATTGAATGATGAAATGGTCATCATCCACCCCTCCGGCTCGGCAGGCGAGCTGGAAATCTTCGAGTCATATACCGGGGTTCATCTCCCCGGTATATTTGGCGATGTTGGTAGGCGGTCAGAAGCGTTGTGGGAACGGCGTTCTCTGGATGCGTCGACCAAAGGCCCGTGGTCCCGAGACATCCGGGCTAGGACTCCGGTCGTCCGGCCGGCGACTGCGCCTGGGGTGTGTTTCACCACTCCCTGTGATGGTCCGGCCGGGGTCTATGTCACCTGCCCTCACTGCTGCTCAATGGACGTCATCGTCATGCCAGGCTCGACGCCGGTTGCTGATGATGCTACGAGCGTCTTGGTTCGGCCCGAGTCGCTCGCGCACAGGGGCCCGGCGTGGAGCGGGTGCTAGGTCAAACCATGGCACGGCTGCGGCCTCCTGCGCCGCGCTCGGCGGTCGGAGTAGTGAGCTGATGGAGCGATTCATCTGGTGCATCCCTACTCCCCTGGTGGGGAGAGATGCCATGAGTCGGTGTCACGATGCGGAGCTCTCCACCTGTTGAGCGGCGGTGGTTTCCACCAGTGCTTGGAGGTTCTGGTGGATCGCCTGTTCTTGGGGGTCGTTTAGCTTGGGAAGGCCGCACAGAAGCATTGCCGCGCGCGGCGATGTTCTGACCAGCCCGAGCAAACTGTGGGGGATCGTTCCCCCGTCCATGATGTTGCGCTAGACCTGGTGGGTGCAACCTCGGGCGTCGCTCGTCGGGTTATGCGCACGGGGCACAGCGTAGTGCGCCGGTGCAGGTGGCGGCTGGTTCTGTCGCCGTTGTCGTAGCTCCTCACTATGCTTTTGTGAGAGCGCGAGGGCCCCCGCACGAGGGTCTGAAGGGGTGTGAGTCTGCAAGGACTCCGCTACCACCGACGGCTATCCTAGAGTGTCCACCATAGCGTACTCCCGGGATAGATGGTGGCTAGGTGCCACGTCGCCGATGCTGGAGCCGTCACTCTCAACCTCGTCATCTACGAGTTCATAGAAATAGGTGGGAGCGTAGCTCGCCATCCCCATGAATTCGGATGTGAGAGGAGGCGGCGTCAGCACCTTTCGGAGCCCTCGGGCGAACACGTCCGCGGGGGACGCGAGGCCGTAGGGGGACCGGTCTAATGGCGGTTGCGGTAGGGACAGCGGGGTCCCTCCAGAGAGTCGGCAGAAGATAGTAAATAGCGAGTAAATAACAGTGGGGTTTGAGCAGAGCGTTTGCTCGGAATGAAGCGCAGATGCCTCGTCGTTGAAGTCGTCAGGTGTCCCAGAGCCGATGGAGGGCGCCCCTCCGACGGGCGTCAAAACAAGTGCCTCCTCATGGAGGTGTAGTACACCAAGCCGGTCGACGATGAAGTCTAGGCTTCCAAAGATGGGAGGCCCCCGCATCCCAACAGGTGGGAGTGCTGGGAACCCTAGTGAGCCGAAGCGAGTCGTATCGCTTGAGCCCGCTATGGCGAAGGTGGTGGAAAAGTGGGCCATCCGATGATCAAAAGTGTGAACGTACAACGTCTTCCCCATGGACGGCGCCAACTGTCGGTGCATAAAGTGACAAACACGTAAATATTTGTAGTTTTGTTGTACGTTGTGATCGATGTGGCCTAGCACTCAATGACACAAGGTTTATACTTGTTCAGGCAACGTGCCCTACGTCCAGTTTGAGTCGGTCGATGACTTTATTCCTGAGCCCAGTTGCTCAAAGTTTGTTGTGGGGTTACAAACGGAAGGGAGTAAGATGGGGGTGCAAGAGGTCCGGTCAGACTCTGGTCTGAAGGGCCAGAGTGACAGGAGCTCCGCTATGTGCTAAGTGTTCGAGCGTGCGCTCTGTATAGCTTTAGAGTGTCTAAAGCTAGCAGAGGGTGAATCGATGTAAGTGAACTGATGGTTCGGTTGTTGTGCTTTTTTCTCCCTCTTTGTTGGGAGAGAGCGTATCCCCTTTTATAGATGAAGGGGATGGCTTTACAAGTGAGAGAGGGAGAGTGTACGTATGCTAAGTCTTGTTGCTCACGCCATCGGGTATAAGATGATTGTAAACGCCCATAACACTGTTAATGTTAGATGCATGTGGGAGGTTGCATCGTCTTCTTCTGGTATGACAGACGTCGGTGCCTGCCATACTGTTGATGCCCAGAGGCATGTGGGGGTTTTACTATGTTCGCTTAGTATGATAAATGCCGGCGCCCACAACACTGTTGATACCCAGAGGCATGTGGGGAGAGCCTTACCGTATTTGTCCAGTATGGGAGTTGATGGAGCCCACAACACTGTAGGGCAAATGTCGGCGCCCACAACACTGCTTGGGTTCTGACATGCCAGGAAGATTGCAGGGTACACTTCTGACATGCCCTGTTGGTACTGTCCTGTAGGTGTACAGGGTACGGTCCTCGGTATTGCGGTTGACTTGAGTGCCCTGCCTTACTTTCTCCGTCCGTTTCCTGGTCCTCACCGAGCGAGCGTCCCCGGTGGGTTGGTCCCGGTCGGCTCTGATTGAGCCAGTCGGAGAAGAGTTGTAAGCAGGGGTTTGGCGCATCCCCGGTTAGAGACGCGGGTCGGAGTCAGAAGTGGTGTTTAGCCAGGCCTTCTGGCCCGAGAGGCCGTCCGGAGGCGGGCCGGAGTCGGAAGCGAGCGCTGTTCCTCCTTAATGAGGCCTTCCGGTCGGAAAGGCGGGCCGTAGTCGGAAGCGGGCGCGTTCCTCCTCGGCCAGGCCTTCCGGTCAGAGATTGGATCCCTTCTGACCTGTCGTTTAGGTATTTGGGCCGGGCCACGAGTTGCGTGTCGTTCGTAACGTTTTCTGCTGGGCCGAGCCTTTGTTGGAAAGCCGATCCATGAGGGACCCCGGGTTTATGAACCCGACAAATATATTCCATATATGGTCTTGTTTTGATGGAGTTATTGTAAGAAAATGGTGTAGCCAGAATTAATTTGAATGCTCAGTTTCACAATTACGATGCTATAGTTTAGCTCTCTTGTAGAATGAGCTGGTGACAGATGAATCAGATCCATGATGTAAACCAACCGACGTACTTACGAATACAGGATAATTTCGGACGTTCTCATGACGCAAACCAAACACCTTATTTGCCCACAATCCCCATTCATCCCAAACCCTACTACCCGGTGGCGACCAACGAAGCTCCTGTCATGCGGCCGCCGGCGGGGCTCCTCGCTCCAAGCAGCACCGAACGTCGGTTGGGCGACTCTTAGCCATGCTTAGGCCCTGTTCGCTCGGAGAAATTTGGAGGAATCTGTATGAATCTGGAGAAATTTGTGAGAGCATGAACAGTGAATTTCAGCTCAGCACAGTGAATTCTGGCTGGTATTCATACCAGCCGAACGGCCCCTTAGTGGCAAAATCAGAATCTAAATTTAGAGGAGAAAGAGGCCAAATATCAATAGAGATGTCATTTACCCTTCAATTACGCCTCTAAAATTATCTTAGTGGTAAATTTATCCAAGCAGCAGCGAGCGGCGGTTGGGCGACTCGCGACTCTAAATTTAGTGGTAAATTAGCTAGATCATTAAGGATTGTAATGAAAAGTATCAGAGTTAGTTGTATAAAAAAAAGTATCAGAGTTAGGGGCCGAGCCTCAGACGGGCCGGTGAATAAGCTTCATTTAGGCCCAACTTGGTGGCGGCCTGGTGGAATTGGGCATCTATTGGGCTGAGAAGGTGAATGTTTAGGGTTCGTTTCCAAGCGAGCTAAAATTCATTCACGGCTTGTTGCGTTGTTCGGCTCCTCCGGGCTCCGGTCCTCCCGCCGGCGGAAGTCATCCGAGCGACGACGCTCCCCTCGCGGCAGCGCTCGAGCAGAAACTGGCCGTGGAGCAACGAGCAGCGATTGTTTTCAGTCGTAGAGCTGAAGTGATGAGCGTAAGCGATGACGGCGGTGGGGGAAGTGACGAAAAGTCGGCCGACGGGTGGCGGGCGGAGGAGGCCGTCGCGGGCAACCGTAGGGCACTCGAGGCCCTTCGGGAGCTCGTGGCTTATCCTTTCCTCTACGCCCACGAGTCCCGTCTGCTCGGCCTCAAGGTAATGTGCTCCCGCCTCTTGCCCCCATCAGACTCCGTCATTGTCTGCTACACCTTCGGGTTAATCATTCAGCTTGCTTTCTTCAGTGGCCCAGAGGGTTGCTGCTCCACGGCCCCCCTGGCACCGGAAAGGTACTGAATTTTCAATTCCTCGTCTTTAACTCTCAGCTCTATTTTCCATCATCTAAAAAGAGCTCTATCACAAATCACCTTGAAGTGTTTGGATTTTTTTTTTTTTTTTTTGGTGGGGGTGGGGGGTGTGGAGTTTGATGTTTATTGAATTTGTCAGTATTGAAATATGGATGACCTAAACAGTATAGTGATTGTTATTTTTGGCAGACAAGCCTGGTTCGAGCTATTGTCCGAGAATGCAATGCGCACCTGACTATGATCAAGTACTGAATTTACTTTGAACTGTTTCTGTTTAGTGCTGACATGTACAATTGTACACTGTATTTTTTGACATAATTTGAAATATATTGCTTCTGGTCACCTTGACAGTCCATATTCTGTACACAAAGCCCATGTGGGAGAGGGAGAAAAGTTCCTGCGTGAAGCTTTTTCTGAAGCGTATGCTCAGGCTTCGCAGGGTAAACCAGCTGTGATATTCATCGACGAACTTGATGCCATATGTCCACGCCGCAGTGATAGGCAAGTTTTGCATATCTCTTTTCTTTGTGTGTGTAAATGAGATCTTAATGAGCTTTCACAGGAGAGAGAACGAGTCCCGCATTGTTGGCCAACTTCTTACTCTGATGGATGGAAACAAGAAATCGTCAAAGATGCTTCCTCACATAGTTGTTGTTGCATCGACTAACAGGTCTGGGCATGCCACACTTTTGATTTCGAAATACCGTTGCTATAATTCAAGGTTTATTCCATGTCTAAGAATCCTGCTGGGACATGATTTACAATCTATACACAGATACCATGCAATGCTATTATGTTCAGTTAATTGTGCACATTTTACAATTTTTTCTTAAAATAGCCTTTTAAGCATGGTGCTGGATATGGTCTTTCTCGTTGAACTGAAACACAGCTTGTTACCTCATTAGGGTAGATGCCATTGATCCAGCATTGAGAAGGGCAGGACGTTTTGACTCAGAAGTAGATGTTGCTGTTCCTACAGTTGAAGAGCGGCTGCAGATCCTAAAGGTAGTATTTGATGTCATATTTCATAAATCTGTTGGTATACAGTGGTTTTCTTATAGGTGTCTGCTTAGGAAATTGCTGTTGACAAATGACAAATGTAATTTTATGTTTTTGACCACATGATTGTATATGTATTGAATCTAAAAAGGCTTTAAGACATCATATCAAATTCTGCGTTTTGTGAAATCTTGAATTCATGCTCTCAATTTCTTTTATGTAAACCTAATGTCATAGGTCTTTATCTTCTCCAGCTTTATGCCAAAAACCTACATCTGGATGAAAAGGTCGATCTTCAAACCGTTGCTGCGTTCTGCAATGGCTATGTTGGAGCTGATTTAGAAGCATTATGTCGAGAAGCTGCCAAGCTTGCATATCATAGAATGTTAAACATATCTGAGGGTGACAAAGTACTTAAACTACATATGGAGGACTGGGAGTCTGCTAGATCTATGGTGGGACCAAGCATAACAAGAGGGGTAACCAAAGAAATTTCAACGGTTTCATGGGATGATATAGGAGGCTTGAAAGATCTAAAGGTTAGACATTTCTTGTTTTGGTTCCCTTCTGGCAAAAAACCTGTTTTGATGGTGGTTGTTCCTGTGCTTCAGAAAGAGCTTCAGAAAGCTGTTGAGTGGCCCATCAAGCATGCTGCTGCATTTTCTAGACTTGGGATACCACCAGTCCGGGGGGTGCTTTTGCATGGTCCGCCAGGGTGCTCGAAGACTACCCTTGCCAAGGCTGCAGCACATGCTTCCCAAGCTTCTTTCTTTTCTTTGAGGTTCATCATTAAACAATGTTATATGTTGAGAAAATAACAGCTCACTTCCGTTGTGCGAAGAACAAAACAGATTAGCATAATTTACTGATTTCTGACAGTTGAGTTAATATGATAATATCTGGTATCCACAACTCAGCAAAAGCTTAAAAAATAATCAACTAAAACACCTTCAGATAAAGATACTCTCCTCAACACTCACAGGGTTTTCACATAAATTCTTATAACAGTGGTGCAGATTTATATTCCAAGTATGTTGGAGAAGGTGAAGCCCTGTTACGTAGAACGTTTCAGAAAGCACGTCTTGCTTCTCCAAGCATTATATTTTTTGACGAGGCTGATGCCATTGCCCCAAAGAGGTATGCACTGATATGTGATGCACAATATAATAAAAATGATCTGATATAACTATCACAACTAGCAAGAATGGATAGGAATTGCCTATCCATTCTTTTACTATACTGTTAGAATGTAAAAAAAAAAATGTATTTAACATGATACACATAATGTGGAGAATTGAACAGTGTGTGCAAGCAAATTCTTGTTGAAAATGGTAACTTGGGTGTTCTTTTTATGACAGTAGAATCAGTTTATATGGAATTCAGTTTTGCACCTGTAAATCTTTACTTTTAGCTTCAGATTACCATGTGTGAATTTTACTACAAATAGATTATGTTGGCACCTGTATGATTTTGCAGAACTGGCCCTGGTGGGAATTCTAGTGGCAATGCCACAGTTGGAGAAAGACTTTTGTCGACTTTATTGACCGAAATGGATGGTTTAGAACTGGCTACGGTACTGTTAGCCTGCTGATAGCTTTCTGTGTGATTCTACTGATTATTATATCTACATGTATGCTCACTAGAAGGGCATTCTTTTCTTTTTAGGGAATTATCGTATTGGGTGCTACGAATCGCCCAAATGCAATTGATGCTGCTCTTCTACGCCCAGGACGTTTTGATAAGGTCCTTCAATGCTCCTGTCATTGATGTTCGAGAAAAAAAAAGCTGTTCCTGTCATTGAGACATGGACATATAGGCACTGACCATAATTTCCGGTTGATTTGCAGGTGCTGTATGTCCCGCCGCCAGATGTGGAAGGTCGATATGAGATACTACGCATCCATACACGGAAAATGAAATTGGGAGAGGATGTAGATCTTTGGAAGATTGCGGAGTGTACCGAGTTGTTCACCGGTGCTGATCTTGAAGGCCTTTGCCGGGAAGCTGGAATGGCAGCACTGAGGGAAGATATCTCAGCAAGTTCGATATGTAATACCCACTTCCAAGCCGCACGAAGTTCATTGAATCCCTCTCTTACAAAAGCAGTAGTTGATGAGTACTCAAAGGCAGCCATAAATGATCCATCAAGTAGGAAACATTAAGATGTTCTCTCTCTTTTTCTTTGTTGCTCAAGAATAGCTAGAATGCTTATCTTGAGCAGCGGGGAGACATTAAGCAGTTGTTCCCTATTGTACACGACTGCTAGATCCTTAGCATTGACAAGGAATGCAAATATGCAATTGTGGTTTGAATGGAAAATTCCAGGAGTTCCTTTTCTTTTCCTCAGAAACAGCTTGTATCAGCTATAAATGATACATGGTCCATTTATTGATGTATTGTCATTTTGCTGCTGCAGTCTTATCATTTTCTTGCGCAAACATCCATCTTGTACATGCACTCTCTTAGTTCTATGCTTGGGCAGCAGCATTGCTGCGACGGAGCATGTGAGATCATGAAAAGATATTTATGAAGATCACAAGGCAGCTATTATTACTTAAAGAGAAAAGCTACATTGCTACAAAGTCATCGCCAATTTCTGGTCAACCTGAATACAGGTTGATCTAATTGTTTATATCATTTGTCCAATGCTCCAATAGCAAGCTGCAAGCTAAGAGTATTTTACAAGGGGACGAGAAGTTTCAGAGACGGCCTTCTTAGAGTACATTTGTTACACAGGTCCGTCTTTGTACACTAAGAATGCACTGGTCTTGCAGTAACGGCATGCTAGCCCCTTGCCAGAGGAGGTCGGAGGAGTGAAAGCAAACTGTGAAATCCCCAAAGTCTTGCCTTCGCAGAAGGTTTTCCTGCTTGAGATGAATGGAAGTGGCAATATCAAGAGGAGCTCAGTCTATGGAAATTGCTTGCCAAAAAGGCACAAGAAAATAATTTATGGTGTCATCAGTTACGAATAGCTTAACAATACATTAAATACAATTTGATAAAGAACATCTTGTTGCTAGGCAGAATACTGTACGCTTGAAAATGATCTGAGTTGTTAATGCAAGGGGAATAACATTAAAGAAGTGTTGACTTGTAAATGGATGAAATTTATGGAACAAATACGCAGCATGTGAAATAAAAAAATCGTCTTACCTTGCAACATCCATTAGCTTTGAGGCAATTCGTTTTCTTCTGCGTGATGGTACCACCCAGATGGCTCGAAATCCACAAAGTGCAGGAACAGCTTTTGTTTCACAAATTATGGCACCAGGGTCCTGGCACTCTTCTTTCTTCTTGATTGAATGATTGTGCCGCCTTATGATTTCCCTCTTGAAACTAATTTCGCCAAACTCTAATGTATGACCATTTTTTCCTGGCTCAGTACTGTCAACTGGCAAATTGTTATGGCTTTCTTCCGGGGAGCTTGGGATAACTCTATGTGCTGTTTTTATTGGTTCAGTGACAAGGCACCCCACGATCCTTTGTCCAGATATGTATAGATACACCTATACAATAAAGATTATTCTTATTTATTACCATGTAAGACAAATGTACTGCATAGATTGCCATATACTACTGAACTAAGATTATGTAATACTACCTTGCAAAGCTTATGCAGAAGTTTCCCTTCACCAAATCCCAGCTCCTTCTCCACCACTGTGATCACCTCTCTGACCTGCAATATTTGTTTGACATCACATGACTTGCATAGATCCATACCACTTGTATTCACATTTGTGAGGATGGCTTAGACATTTACAAGCAGTTAGCAAAAACACAAACATATAACAGCTAAAGAATACTGCTTTACAGTCTGCATTTCTTCAGAAGTCGGGGCACTAACATTTTAATTTTAACATAAGGAATTGAGTTGGGCAGAGTTTTACCTTACTTTTCGACACACAAGAGTTCTCATCAGTTGCAACAATAACCCGATCACCACCTTCGGACCTCGCCATCACTGTCTCATTTTTCCAGCCCTGCAACTCATCGGTTTAACTAAACGCTCCACACAGAAAAACTAAGAGCACAACGCATAGAACACCTTGACCTTGAAAGGGACTCCCCCGGAGTAGCTCTTGTGGTAGGCCCTGTGAACCTTCTCGTCCTCGTCGTTCCCTCGGGCGTACATCATGCCGCAGACGGAGCACGTGTGGAGTAGGAAATCAGGCTGCCCCAGCTCCAGATGGAACTGCGCGTAGTTCCTCTTCTTGCTGACGAGCTCACCGCGCCTGCAGCCCTTGGCCTTCCGCTTCGCCTCCGTCGACGCGCCGTCGCTTCCATGCCCATTCCCCTCACCGTCGCCACTGCGCCGATCCGCACAAATGAGAAGGAAATCACAAAATGCTTCATCCCACAAACATAGATGCTAACGAATCCGCTCCTCGCGTCAGGCACCACAGCAATTGAGCAAAAAAGATTCAAAGCCGGCAAAATTTGGTATCAGGGGTAATCAGTTCGAAGAGGGGTAAGGAGAAGAAGGACCTGTTCGGGTCTGGGTCCGCTTCCTGCCGCTTGAAGAACGCGCTTATCTTGGGCTGCATCGCCTCGCTTCGCCTTCCCACGAGTTCTCCTCTTCCTTCTCCCGTTTGCCGTTGCTGCCGGAGAGGGGAAATGTTGAAGAGGCAACGACGGTTAGCAGGAGGCGGCGCTTCGGAGGGGACAGGGGACGAAGCGGGAATCGACGGTGCAGACGTGGTGGTGAGGTTGAGGGCGGGGCGGATCGGACGCGCAGGACTTGAGAAGGCCGTCGCGCGGGTTACTGAAAAGTAGATGCGAGATTCGGCGCCAAAACTACCGCCCAAACTTGAGGCGACGTGCAACTGAGGGCATAAAAGGAAAACAGAAAAATCGTTTACAACGGCAATCAAATTTTATGTAGCTCTTCCATTTCCGACTTCCGAGTACTAGGTATTGGTAGTACGTGCAACAAAATCAAATGGTGTTTGTAGCAGTTTTCAGAGTTTAATCCACAGTACGTCTCAAAAAAAAAGTTTAACCCACAGTAAAAACCACTAGATCTTTAACTTCCTCCGTTCTAAATTATAATTCGTTTAACTTTTTTATCCTAAATTTGACCGCTCATTTTATTCAAATAATATGTGCAAATATAGTTAGATTTAAGTCATTCGTGGAGAATTTTTGTTAGTAAAGCAAACCACAACAAAAGAAGTGATATTTAGTACAAATTTTTAAATAAGATGAGTAGTCAAATTTGATGTAAAAAAAGTCAAACGAATTATAATTTGGAATAGATTTAGTACCAATTTTCAGTTGTATAGTAGGGGAATTTGTAGGTCTATATTTTGCCCACATTTTACTATTTGATGACTACTATTGTGGTGTTTCGAGACAATTTCTTTGATTTCCATAATGTATAGTAGGGGAATTTGTAGGTCTATATTTTGCACAGAGGTGTAGATCTCGACGGCGCGAACTTTCGTCCAGGGTGTCCTCGACGGCAGCGACTGGCCGACGGAGGTGAAACACGCGGTGGGGCGGCTCGGGTACGGCGGCGACCTTCGGCGAGCACGGGTGCACGAAAGAGAGCGAGAGGGAGATAGAGATTGGCACCAGAGGGTTGCTCACCTCCGCGCGAAGGGCTTCGGTGCGGTCTCGTCGGCGGGGAGCCGGGGATGCAGCAGGAAGGGAGATGGGCGGCAGCTATGGCGGCGCGTGTTGTGGTTAGAGAAAGCGGCCAGCGCTACAAGGGATTTTAGGGGGGCGCAGCGAGCGGGCCGCAGCAGGTCGGCTGGCGGGCCAAAACCGCAGCAGGCTGAAAGCAGAGGAGAAAAAGGAGATAAAAAGAAGAAAATGTTTTCCTTTTATAAAATATACCACTTTAATTACTTTTTCATACTATTTTGAAACCATTTAAATTTATAAACTCTCGAGATTTTATTTTATAAATGATTTTGAAAATATACTTTCAAATTTATTTCAATTCTTTATATTTGTAATCTCACTTTAAAACACGCTTTTAAACTCTATGTTGAAAACCCTTTTTGGAAACAAGGGTTTGAATATATATTCAAGCTTATATGTGACATATATTTTAAAACTATTTTGAGAAGTGAAAACTATTTTAGAAACACATTTAAAATTACATTTTTAAAGGCCTTGCAAACTCAAACTTTGGACTTATTTTGAGTTTTCAAACATAATTTTAAAGCCATTAATTTATAAAAACATAAGAGGACCTATTTGTGGCTTGATCAATTTTTCGAGTTCACTTTTCACACAGAAAGGCTTATGCAAAGGTATGAATTCAACAAACATACTTCAATTAACTTTGTAATAAGTTTATAAACCACATTTTCACTATTTCAAATGTCAACAGCTAAATAAATCTTAGGAAAATTTTATATATAAATTATTAAGTCATTTTATTCTATTTAGTAATTTCTATTTACAACAAAAATGAGAATTTTGGGGTGTGACAACTTTGCTCCTAGCCGACTAGGCGTTGCTCGGGAGCTCCTAAGCTGTGGGAGAACCCCGAGAGGTTTGTATTACCCTTGAAACTACAGTGAAGAACTCAAGTTGACCTTTATGGTTGGCAAGGAGGCAAAAGAGATTCCGACCTTCATGGTCACCTTGACAACGAGGACGTAGGTACTCCTTAGCAGGGTGGCCAAAACTCGGGATAAATTCATATATGCCGTGTGCTTGTTGTTATTGTTGTGATTACTTGGAATTACTTTTATTTGGTTCTCTTTCTCCCTCAAGCTTATTCTTAGGTATTGGTTTTTTACCTACATCTGGTGGTGTTTCAAAGCCAAGAAAGCATCTTAACATCTTCATCTATCTCTTAAGAAGTGGGGTAAATAACCTATTTGAAATTGAAGTTGAATTTATAGCTTCCCTTAGGTGTCGGAACCTCCGACAATTTGCGTTAAAACTTCCGCTCCAAACTTCGGAACTTCCAACATTTTCTAATTCACTATTTCAAGTTTGTGTTTAAAAACTTTCAGATATGTCTAGTCACCCCCTCTAATTATTGTAGATCCTTTCACTCGCTCCGCTCCGCTGTTCGCAAATTTCAGGAGTTGCCCCCTACTTAGGAACCATCATCCGTTTAATACCCTCCCAGATAAGTTTAAAAAATTACCTACCTTTCATCAACACTTTAGTGTCACGTCATCCAGGGTTTGGGCCAAATCACCTAACTTTTGGACTAAAGCTGGATGATTTGGCACTTTCTTTAGTCCAAAATATAGATGACGTGGCACTAAAGTATTGAGAGGGTGATAATTTTGTGAAGGTTTGGCCTAAAACCTTAGTAACGTGGCAAGTATTGGAGGGTGATAATTTTGTGAAGTTATTTGGTAGGGTGTCAAATGGAGTATTTGGTAGGGGCCTAGGGGGCAACTGTCAATTCCTGAAATTTCCCCCGATGTTCCTTGTATCCGCAGGTCCTTGAATCTGCCGTCCTAAAAATTCCCACTTCGATGCCGTCCTAAAAATTAACCGGGTTTCCCTATGAAAGGACCAGTTGGGTTCAGTGAAGAAGTCAACTCTGAGCTCGGATTTGCGTGGAGTGGAGCTAGTACTTCGCCTTTTGCGGAGTTGTGCCTGTGCTCGGCTACCCATAACAAATTTTCGCATCTCACCAAACGGCTGCAGCCTCGCAGGCTCGCAGATTCCTGCGGCTTCTCTCTAGATCCGCAAGTAAAACCTGGGAAGGAATCGTTCCTGACAAGGTGCTCAAATGGAGCACCGGGAAGACGGACCCTTCCAACTCCAAGAAACAGCTGCCGGTGACCGTGGCAAATGTTGTGTCGCGTCCCCCTGCGGGTGGCTGGGGCGGCTGTCCCACGAGCTGCACTGGAGCTTCGTGCTCGCGGTCGTCGCCGTCTACGGCGCCTGCCAGGGCGTCGGCAACGCCATCGGCGGAGTCGCCGCGGCGTACTACTGGAAGGACGTGCAGCGCGTGCAGCCTTCGGCGGCCCAGTTCTACCAGGGCGTCACGGACGCGCCGTGGATCGTCAAACCCATCTGGGGCCTGCTCACCGACGTCGTCCCCGTGGTCGGGTTCCGCCGCCGCCCGTACTTCATTCTCGCAGGTCAAAGATCCGATCTTTCTTGGTTCCAGCGGATAGCTAGTTAAAGCCAGCGCGGCATCTCTCTTTGTCTTGCAATAATGCAGGCGTGATCGGCGTGTCATCTATGCTCATGCTTTCCCTAAACCACGAGCTTGGGATTATGCCGGCATTGCTGATGCTGACGGCGCAGAGTGCGGGCGCCGCAATAGCCGACGTGACGGTGGACGCTCTGGTTGCTCAGAACAGCATCACGCACCCGACCCTTGCTGCTGATATGCAAAGCTTGTGTGGGTTTAGCTCCTCTGTTGGAGCGTTGCTTGGATTCTCCTTAAGTGGCTTGCTTGTGCACTCAATGGGCTCCCAGGTATGACATTTCTGGTTGATGAGTGCCTTCTGGTTTCTCATACAATCCAGAATATGCAACGTGATAACTAATTTACTACTCCCTCCATCCCAAATTGTAAGTCATTCCAAGAATCTTGGAGAGTTTGACTAAAATTATAGAGAGAAACATAAAGATTGATGACATCAAATAGGTATAATATGAAAATATAACTAATGAAGAATCTAATGATACTTACTTGGTATGATAAATATTATTATTTTTTATATAAATTTGGTCAAACTTGAAAAACTTTGACTCTCCAAGATTCTTGGAATGACTTACAATTTGGGATGGAGGGAGTAGTTTACTATGAATTTCCTTCTGGGGTCATATTTAATTTGTTGACTACTTAACTACAATTGTCCTTATGGTATGACATATATATTTTGTCCATGTTATTCAGGGGGCTCTTGCTCTGTTGAGTATCCCCTCTGCACTGGTGTTATTAGCTGGCATTCTTCTGAAGGAGAACCGTGGTACAGAATTTGATTACATGCAGGTCAGATAAGGACCAACATGCAACATTTCTGTTTTTTGAATTGTTGAATTCACCCATGGACAGTAATGCAACTTAAGGTCGATCTGAATTCAGGTTCACAAGAAGTTCTACAAAGCAATACAATCCATGGGAAGAACACTGAAGTGCCCCGAGGTCTGGAGACCATGTGTATATATTTTTGTTTCTCTCAATTTAAGTCTGGATATTCAAGGAGGAATGTTCTATTGGTACACGGATCCTGTTGTTGGACCTGGATTTTCTGAGGTACACGTGCTTACTAGATATCATTATTTCATCAAATAGATTAAAAGCCTGAAATTACAAGCCCTTATTAATTGATAAATCTCCATGGGGAGGTTTCATTTCAGCCGAATCACTTTTGTCCATATGTTAATTATCCAAAGCTGTTCTGATTATCTAGTAAAATGATCAGGTAGTAAAATGGCAAGTCGTGTAAGTTACATTTGTAGTTTCTCTATGTAAATGAGCATTAGTTTTGGTATTATCTGCTTATGGCCAGACCAATATATGTTGAGTTCTGATGAACAAGCTTGACAAAAAGGCTTCCAAATTTACTGAAATATATTTTATGCTATATTTTTCCATTATTTGCTATATATATAATCTTGAAAATTCATCATTACATTTTATCAGTTATGTTTTGTTGCCAAATGGGCTTATCACTTGTGGAACATTTGCTTTGGTACAGGGATATATTGGTCTCATCTATTCAATTGGTTCAGTTGGTTCACTAATTGGAGTTTTACTATACCAAAGCACACTAAAGGACTATCCTTTTCGGAGCATGCTTTTATGGGGTCAAGTGCTCTCAAGTCTAGCAGGAATGCTTGATCTGGTGTTAGTGACCCGACTAAACCTGAAAATTGGCATGGCAGATTACTTCTTTGCGGTGGCTGATAACGCAGTTTCCCAAATGGTTGGTAGGCTCCAATGGCTACCACTACTTGTGCTTTGCTCCAAGCTTTGTCCTCCCGGCACCGAAGGGACATTCTATGCATTACTCATGTCTCTACAAAATGCCGGGTTGCTGATGTCTGCCTGGTGGGGTGGCCTGCTCCTGCACATGCTGAACGTGACCCGAATGGAGTTCAGTAACCTCTGGATCGTCGTCTTGATTAGAAACATATCAAGGCTTGTCCCTTTGATGCTACTGTTTCTTGTTCCTGATTGTGATCAGAACTCAACACTCCTGCCTGCAGAGATGCTTCATGGCAATGAATCAACAGAAACCATGAAAAAAGGATCAAATGAGTTTTCTGTTCTTGTTGGGGACAACTCTGGCTGCATTTCTCCTGGTGTGGCAGTTGATAGCGAGCAAATCAAAAATTTTGATGCTGAAACTGATGATGTCGAATTGATCCCACTGGTTAACAAGAGCGGACTGACCGTCTCATGATGCGTTGAATCCAGGATCCTTATGCTGATTCTACTACTGGTTCTTTCCAGCTTGTTGATGAAGACGGGAAGACTTTTTTTGCTGTGACATGAAAGACAAAGGGAATTGAAACATTTGATAATGAAGGCAGATGAGATGCTGTTATAGGGGTATTGTTTCAAAAAAGATACTGTCACTGGGGTGAGGGCACCAGTCATTTGCTGGAGTTGATCGAGCTCAACTGTACCTTCGTGGTACATTCAGTTCCTTCTGTCACCCTAGATGAGCGACTGACTGACCACAATGTTCCTTGTTATAGAAAGTCCATTGTTTACCCAATTTTTTTTTAAAGGAGAAAACCCCTGGCTTTTAGAAAGCAATAGAATACAGAGTTCTTACGAAAGAACACATCATGTACATTGCCAACCTACTTAACAGGTGTTGGTGAGAATGACTTTACCTCCTGATGAGGCGATGTACTTGCCTTTCGAAAGGTCTATCCTTTTGATCATTTTGTTACTATCCCCAAGAAAGCGTTTGAACTCAAAAGTTTGTATTGGGATGCCCAAATAATTAATGGGTAAATAACCCAGTCCGCAATTCAGCATATTGGCTATCAAGTCCATTTCCTCCCGTGGCACTCCAAAGACAAGGACTTCACTTATGTGGAAGTTAATTTTCAGCCCCGACATCCATTCAAAACAATATAAGATAAGCCTGCGGTTTACCAAAGATTTATAAGAACCATCAATCATAATGACTATATCATCCGCATGTTGGACACGCATAACCCCCCTGGAACTAAATGTCCCAGCACCCCGTTGATGTGTTCCTTGGAGTTGGAGACTGCCTTGTTTAGCAAAATACTTAGCACATCTGCTGCTATATTGAATGGTAGAGTTGAAAGAGGGTCTCCCTGTCTACCCTTGGAAGGTTTTAAAGAATTCACTCCTGCCATTTACATTTACATTTACACAAACTCTACCCCATTGCACATATTTACTCAATTTCGAGCATAAGTCCTTTGGTCACCAATGTAATGTAAAAAACCGGAATTACAGTAATGCGTTTCACAGAATCAGTTTGTAACTCTTGGCTTTGCAATCTGAGATTGAATGTCTGTCCTGTTGATGACATGTCCGACTGCTTGAACCGTGTAGACGCCAGCAGAGCAGTAACAGTGGGCGGTCGAGTGCCGAAGCCTAAAATCGCTTATGCCCACCCACGCGGGGCGGAAGCGCCAACAGCGCCCGTTCCGTTCCGCGGACTCGTGTGCGGCTCTCTCCCTCGAGTGAACAATGAACGTGAACGTTTGCTTGTGTAGCTCTCGTCCCTGTTTGGGTTTGCTTGTGTAGCTCTGTGAACGTGAAAATTCTAGAATAAAAAATGGCAGACCATCCCAACCTACTAAATACCTCTAACCTCAGTCATGAAATCAGGGGAAAAAAAAGATAACAAATATGAAAGCTGCACTGTTCAACCATTCATCTTCAGGAGCCGCAGCATCACCACATGTTTTACATCAAACACGTACAGAGGTATTGTACACACACCCCGGACATTTCAAACCAAGCCTGAAACGGTAACCAGGCGCCTTGGTTCTCGGCGTGACGACGCATGCAGGCCAAAAACCAGCGGCGATGACGCTCTACTGTTGCGCCAGCCGCTTCAGGTGCTGAAACAGCTTCTGTTTTATCCACTGACGGTCATATGGCAGGAAAGCATGAAGTGAATCATCGTACCTGAAATGAAAGCATAGCGTGTAAGTTCAAGAACGTAATGTGATTAGTTGTCACGCCTTCCAGATTAAGCGCTTTGACAGTCAAGAAACATGTACTCACACCAGTGCACTTATGTCAGTCAGGCCATCAATGAAGTTGTACAGGTCACTGATATCATAAGTCAAGTTCCTGACCATCGGGTTGATATTCCTGATTTTCCTTTCATAAAGACCACAGATTCCTTCCATTCCAGAGAACAAAAAGGTAAGAAAAATAACATGTGCCGGTAACAAATAATAACTCAAATATTAGCCACATAACTGCTGAGTAATATAGTCATATGAACAATATGGCAAAGTTAACAATTCTCATGCCATGAGAAATATGATATAGTTGACTAGTACTGTGGGGGTACGGCCCCCGGTATCCACAAGACAAGACATGAGCCGCATTCGACGTGCACCGCAAGATATTGTATAGTACCAAATAGGCTACTTTATTTGTAACCTTGCCTCTCCAGAGTATATAAGGAGAGGCAGGGGTCCCCTAGTGGACAGAGATCCATCTAGATCTATCTACTACATCTCAATACAATACACCAAAGACACAGGACGTAGGGTATTACGTCGATCAGACGGCCCGAACCTGTCTAAATCGCTGTCTCTACGCCTTGTGTCACCATCTGGTTCCTGATTACGCGCATCCCCACCGATAAATCTACCATCGCGGGACACCCCTCGGTGGACTGCCAACGATATTCTGTCGATAGTTGGCGCGCCAGGTAGGGGTGTGCGCTTGTTCCATGGCGAGCTAGATGGACCTCAAATCAACAGCGCGTTCTCGTCATCAATCTCGTGGAGATCCATGCCAGTCCACGACGACGATTCATCGCTGGCTACACCAGCCCCCGCGACAGCAGATCCGATCTCGGAACCACCTTCGAGGTCGTCTTCACCAACAACTCACCGCCCTCCAGGTGCTCGCCGTCAACGCCGACCAGATAACGCCATACGTCGCTGACCAGACGCCCCGTCTAAAGCCAAGTCACGCTTTAATATTCTTCTAAATATTCTCCAATCTCTGTATATCGCCATAATGTTTCTCTGAATTATTTTCTCCATATTTGCTCTCCAAACGATTTTTCGAACCCCTGAATAATCATGTTGATGCTCGGACGCCTCCAGAGACGACCCTATCTCCGGCTTCTCCCTACACGTGCTACGGGCTCCGCGCTCTGCGTTATGGGTGGTCGGCAGCGGCTCCTTAGTCACGCCTGTTCCTCCTACACGTGCACGAGCTCACGCTCCGCGTTATGGTTAACGGGCTAGCTAGGGCTGGAGACTCAGCTCCACACTAACTGTTCGGGCGGTTTATATTAAATATAAATACATCTTCACACCAATTGATCGCCGAACTGCATACGCCGTTTCATCACCATTGCTGATTTTTCTCCGGATTTCATATATTTTTACATCATGTACTACCCGTTCTATATATTTGTATTGCAGGATCATCGTCCAGGTGATCGGACCACCTGGTGCTCGGACTTCTCCATCGATCAACTGGTCGGACCGCTTGGTTCATGGACTCCGTCGTCGACCAGTTGATCGGACTGTTCACCGGTCGCTTCTACTCAATGCTCACTTCGCCGCCGACCAGTTGACCAGACTGTTCGTTGCTTGTGCTTCATCGCCCGCTACGCCGGTTACTCCTCGGTGCTCGGATTCTTCGTGCTCGAGGACTAAGTGGGCACACTTCACCACACGGACGTCGCCAGCTGCGCCGAGAACTCCTCGGTACTCGGACATCGCCAGCGACGCCGGGAACTCCTCGCTCCTCGGTGCTCGGACATCGCCAGCAACGCCGGGGACTCCTCGCTCCTCGGTGCTCGGACATCGCCAGCGACGCCGGGGCTCATCGCTCCTCGGTGCTCGGACATCACCAGCGACGCCGGGACTCCTCGCTCCTCGGTGCTCGGTGGACTGCCGACGATATTCTGTCGACAAATACATGCATTTCATAAACCATGGACTCTCAATTCTTATATTCTCAGTGTAATATGGTTAGTTGAATCTGTGAATCCACATCTTTCATTGAAATTGCAGTGATTTGCGTATTCTTCAAATCAACAACAACATAGCCTTTCAGTCCCAAGCAAGTTGGGGTAGGCTAGAGTTGAAACCCACCAAGAGCCCCAAGTCATGGTTCAGGCACTTTAATAGCTGCTTTCCAAACACTCCTATTCAAACATAGATCTCTAGGTATATTCCAAGCTTTCAAATCTCTTTTCATTGCCTCCCCATGTCAATTTCGGTCTTCCTCTATCTCTCATAACATTATTAGCTTGGCTTAGGACTCCACAATGCACTGGTGCATCTGGAGGTCTCGTTTGGACATGGCCAAACCACATCAACCGATGTTGGACAAGCTTTTCTTCAATTGGTGCTACCTCTAGGCGATCACGTATATCATCGTTCCGAACTCGATCCATTCTTGTGTGACCGCAAATCCATCACAACATATGCATTTCTGCAACACTCAGTTATTGAACATGTCGAATCTTTGTAGGCTAACATTCTGCTCCATACAACATAGCCGGTCTAATCGCCGTTCTATAGAACTTGCCTTTTAGCTTTTGTGATACCCTCTTGTCACAGAGAATGCCAGAAGCTTGTCGCCATTTGATCCACCCTGCTTTGATTCTATGGCTAACGTCCGCATCAATATCTCCATCCCTCTATAGCATCGATCCCAGATACCGAAAGGTATCCTTCTTAGGCACTACTTGACCTTCCAAACTCACATCTCCCTCCTCCCGTACAACTCCGCCAAAGTCGCATATCATGTATTCGGTTTTAGTTCTGCTCAATCTAAAATCTTTAAACTCAAGGGTCTGCCGCCATAACTCTAGTTTCCTATTTACTCCCGCCTGGCTTTCGTCCACTAACACTACATCATCAGCGAACAACATACACCAAGGGATATCCCCTTGTATGTTCCTGGTAACCTCATCCATTACCAAGGCAAAGAGATACGGGCTTAAGGCTGACCCTTGATAAAGTCCAATTTTAATCGGGAAGTAATCTATGTTACCATCGTTTGTTCAAACACTAGTCACAACATTGTTGTACATGTCCTTGATGAGGGTCACGTACTTTGATGGGACTTTATGTTTGTTCAAAGACCACCACATAACATTTTTTGATATCTTGTCATAAGCCTTCTACAAGTCAATGAAAACCAAGTGGAGGTCCTTCTTCTGCTCTCTAAACCGCTCCATAACCTGTCTTATTAAGAAGA